GAGTGTATCAGTGTGTTGGTTTAGAGTAGTTGTGTGTGTGTGTGTGTGTGTGTGTGTGTGTGTGTGTGTGTGTGTGTGTGTTTGTGTGTGTGTGTGCTCACTCACTCTCCTCCTGCAGTCTGGCCATCACCTGAACATCCGTCAGATCCTGCAGCTTATAATGAGAGTCCAGAGGAACCGAGTCAGCGTCCAGCGCAGACACACACACACCACTGTCCACTGAAGACTGAGGGAACACACTGCAGCCTGCAGGAGAACAGAGCACACAATCAACAACACACACACACACACACACACACAAGAACAGTCCACACACTGAACTTATGACCATGTGTGATGCCTGACACTCGGAGCTGCTCGTCATTTCTCAGCCTGTGTGTGTGTGTGTGTGTGTTTGTGTGTAAGAGCATGTTTATTAGTGTTTGTGTGTGTTAGTATGTTTATCACTGTACATTGTGTGTATGTGAGAATCTAGAGAATATGTGCATGTAAGAGGTTGTATGTATGTGTGTGTTTGTGTGTGTGTGCATGCATGTGTAAGTGTGTAAGTATGTTTGTTTGTGTGTGTGTGTGTGTGTGTGTGTGTTACCTGCTCTGTCAGGAGCACAGGGTTTGGAGGGTGAGGAAATGTAGGGAGGAGGAACTCCAGCTACGGCAGGAAAAGCAGGAGCAGACCACCATCTACTGACTGAAGTGGATTAGGGTTAGGGTTAGGGTTAGGGTTAGGGACTGTGTGTGTGTGTGTGTGTGTGAATCCTCTGCTGTGCTGATGAATGAATCGTTGTGTTCAGATGTGGTCCATGTGTCTGACACTCGGTGGGCTCTATCATACAGCCGTATACACAGTGATGAGCAGAGTGGGTTTATCCATCCTCAATACAGCAGAAGTGGACACACACACACACACACACACACACACACACTTAATGCTTTTACAGCATGAGCTGCAGACTCTGTGCCTAGATCATTAAAATAGAGCCCTACGTCTCTCTCACACACACACACACACACACACACAGCTGCATGTATGACCATGAGTGTGTCCACATACTGCTCACACACACACTCTTCAGTGGGAATATTTCAGCATTCACATGCGGCTCGGCTCTTATCGTGACTCTTTGATGTAAACACAGTTGCTATGGTAACGCTGCTCTCTGCCGCTCACACAGGCTGAATATAGCAGCACGAGCGGCGGGTGGGAGCCGCTAAACACCGCGGTGAATGTGACTCACTATTAACAGGCTAAAGTCTAAACCAGGGGTCACCACACTTGTTCCTGGAGGGCCGGCGTCCTGCAGATTTCAGCTCCAACCCTAATCAAACACACCTGAACAAGCTGATCTCACTAGGTGTACTTGAAACATCCAGGCAGGTGTGTTGAGGCCGGTTGGAGCTGAACCCTGCAGGGACACCGGCCCTCCAGGACCGAGACTGGTGACCCCTGCTCTAAACCTTCACACTGTCTGAGCTGTCCATCAAACTCTAACTCATCTGCATATTCATGAGCGGCTCCTCCCCCTCAAACACTGACTGCACTTTACTAGGTGTGGATAATCTTCTCGTGTGTGTGTGTGTGTGTGTGTGTGTGTGTGTTCATCTGCACAGATCAGAACACACAGTCCTGACGCAGCATTATTCTGAGTGTGTGTTTGTGTGTGTATTCACCTTGTATTCCTCACATTGTGGGGACCACACATATAGCTATCTGCATTCTGCATGTTCTTAACTGTGTGTGTGTGTGTGTGTGTGTGTGTGTGTGGATTTCCTCATGGAGATCAAAGAAAGGTCACGATAAGGAAAACAGCACAGACAGAAGCATTGTGAACATGCGGAAGTGCAGTGTGTGTCCTGTGAGGGTTGGGTTTAGGGGTGGGGCTGGGATATATAGAATAGAGTCTGTACAGTAGACAAATAATTACGTCTATGGGAAGTCCTCACAAAGATATACAAGTGTGTGTGTGTGTGTGTGTGTGTTTATATACAGCCGCATTAACACCACTCACTGTGTCCTTACGCTAATCCTGCAAAATACCAGGTGTCATTACATCAGACTGATGACCCCTGATGACCTCCAGACGCTCATCCTCATGCACAGACAGAGGCCAGTCACTATAAACAAGCTGAAGGCTAAAGGCTAATAATGTGTGTGTGTGTGCTGTGTGTGTGTGTGTGTGTACCGGACTGGCAGAGCGAGTGTCGGAGCGTCTCCATCTCGGGCCGCTGCTGGTCCAGAACCCGCCGACACCACTGAACAGCAGACAGAGGAGAAGCAGACCATGGAGGAGCCCGCGGACACACATACAGCCTGAGGACACACACACACACACACACACACACACACACACACACATCAGTGATAACACACACATATATAACCATACATGTGTTTGGGTGTGTGTTGGAGTGCATGCGTGTGTGTGTGCTGTAGTGTGTGTGTGTCAGCAGTTTCTGAGGTGTAGAAATGGTTTCTGCTGCTGGGTCAGCCGTTGAGCCCTAAATGTGTTCATCTTCATTATGAAGAGGATTTATTGATGGTGGGTCGTTTCAGAACACGTCTCCAAACTTCAGGATAGAAACACAGTTCAGTTTTCTTCTGCTGTTAATACGGTGCCTGGGTCAATTTTGACCCATAAGTCAACGGGTGGGTTAAAGAGGACGACAGCAGGACACAATACAGGAGAATCCTGACAACAACAGGAGGGTTGACACACACACACACACACACACACACACACACACACACACACCCACCCACCCTTACACACACAGCAGACGCCAACATCAACACACACTCGTCAGGTGAGGCAGTAATCTGAGATTTGCTCTTCATGACGGTGGTGAATAAGACGCACACATTTAATCAGCTTTAATTAGTGTGTTTCCCCGCTGAGCTCCTCCTGTGCTGAATCTACAGACTGAAGACGCTGAACTCAATCAGCACTGAAGCGCTCACAATAATCCCTCTTTATGGAGGAGTGTAGAGGTGCAGGAGAGGC